GATCGACCCGAACTGTGAAAGCCTCATTACGCATGAGTCCTTTTATGAATCACTTGTGAGGAAACTTTTACTGATTGATCAGATTTATCTTCTTCCCACCCACCTAAATTAATATTAAGATAATTTCATAGGATAGAAAATGATCAGGTATATTATTATTGCAAAAAAAAAGACAAAAGGGAAGTAAAAAAAAAGCATCTGAAAGACATGTTTAGGTGTAACAGGATGATTGCGTATTGCTGCTGAATGAGTTGGTGTGTATGAGGGTCTCCTCTTGGTCCCCTTCACTTACACAACGAGCAGGCGGTGTACCGATCGCCCCTGTGATCACATACTGATCACATGACTATACAGGTTGTTGCCGTAGGAGTGGACGTCTTGCTGTGCCTCCTCTCTGTGAGCGCGGCCGGGCCGAAGCTGAGGCCTTGGAAGGCGCTCAGCAGGTTGAAGCCGTCGTCCTTGGCTCTGTTTTCAGGATGAATGATCTTCGACAGCTCGTGGGGGAGCGACACTTTCCCTCCAACAGACCTCAGACGGTTTGTGTCCTTGCGGCTCTAATTATGACAAAAAAACAGGAAAAATAAGAAGAAGAGGGTTAAACGTCTGAACATGACGACAAATAAGGACACGATGACCTTAATTCACTCTTTAATACATTACTTACACCCATGTTACACCAATATACAGCAAAGACAAAAATAACTAATATGTCCACAGCTAAATGTTACACAATTGCAAATCAGGATTATAACTGTTGGGTTCATCGAGTTGAAATCTGTTAAAAAACGATGTAAATAATTTTTCCAAACCGGGAATAAGTACAATAATCTTGTAAACTACTTAACTAAAACAGTAACTGCTAAACTACCACAGATAAATCACTTTTTCATTTAAAGTGGACCTATCATGCTATATTTGAAACATATATTGTAGGGCCATACCTATATAAAACATGTCTGTGAAGTTTTTTTTTCAAAATACCAAACAGATCATGCATTTTAGCCATGCCTCATTTCGCTCTATTTGCTCTTTTCCAGCCCTGTTTTTCAAAGGCTGATTCTGCTTTTGTGGCAGACTACAGCGCCACTTACAGGCCTGGCATATGTACTACAGCGTCTCCAGCGCTTTCGAGCGGTCTCTCATTCACCTGATAGGTGGAGAGTTGCCCATATAGGCGGAGCACCCCTTTTCTGACGTCAGAAAAATTCAAATAATAATCAGCTCCGTTGCAGCCCCGTTTTTAGAGATTTGGGTATGGAGGAAAAGAGAGAGGGTTGTGTTTTCTGACACTTGGTGAGTTCCCTGACACACCGGGGACACATATTCATGTATAAAAGACGTACAAAAGTGCATTTTGCATGATAGGTCCCCTTTAATATGTGTTAACATTATGCCTGGATTATATTGGAGATAATCAATAGTGGACAATTAGTTCATGTGGTATAAGATATGTTGGACCAAGACATTTCTCCTGCTAATAGAGAAACTAAAGTCAGACATAATTGCTTTTCTTGTTATATTACAAACATTAATGCAGACCTTAGACAGCTGATATTTCTTTCTGAATTGAGCTCTCATCGCTGCTCTCTCTGCGTTCTTCTGAGCATTCATTGCTTCCCGCTGCTTTCTGTAAACACAGGAAACAAGAACACAAAGACACCTGACATTTTACAGGCAGAAGTAATTAAATCAACTTCTCTGTTGGAGCAGTGACTCAGGTTTATTACTCTTTTCTATGCTAATTAACTCAATTAATTTAAACTGCCTTGTCTAATGAAATCTAATGGAGACAGCTGCAGATGATAACATTATGAAAATAACTTTTAATTGTTTGGTATTGTTGCCTTAAGGAGAGGCATTTTTTATTTCTACGTTGTGTGTCCACTTGCCTCTCCTTCTCTAGGTCCTCATTGTATGATTTAAAGATTGACGGGTCTTTGGTTTTGGACTTCTGGAGATGACGGCTCCTCCTCAACCTGCTGCCTCCTCCTCTTCCTCTCCCACCTCTGCTCCACCTGATCCTGGGCTTGGCACACAACCTCCTTTCCTTCACCCCCGACACACAGCTGGTCATCACCCCGAGGGGCTTCTTCAGAGACTTTTTCACACTCCTCAAAGACTCCATGATGCCTGTAGCTCTGAGGACAGTAGGGGACGACCACACCCTACTTCTCTGACAGACGACGGGTGAATATATAAAGGTTTTCTCCTACACTCATGTTGAGGGTGAACTCAGGACACACAAGATCTCATGTCTTGTGGCGGCAAGAACTTGGTTTGAGACCTGCCAAGGACAATGACAAGGTTCAGACACGCAGACTGAGTGAACAAACTCATACACACATGCAGTGTAACAAATGTTAAATAAAGATTAAGTGTTTTTCATAGAGGGAAGGGACAAAAACAGACAAACGTCAGACTCAAACATAATCTACATAGTCCTCCTTTAGGCCACTAAATATCCACCCACAACCCAATCAAAATGTCCATCCATCAACAGTTATCTTACCCATGCAGGTGGTCACAGTTGGCCAAAGGCTCACAGAGAAAATCCTGGTAAAGCTCCAGCCAGATGGCCTCCACTGCAACCAGACAATCCCCCGACACTTTAGAAAAGAATAAAGTAGAAACAAAAAAACTCTCCACTAGAAGTTGTTTTTGTGTTTTGTGACCCTCACTGAAGTAAATCACAGTTTTATTTTCCAGGTTTCAGCCTTTGCTTACTACACTCGTCAACAGCACGCAACCCTCCTGAACAGACTACTTAGAGGACTTACCGAGGGGAATCTCGTTAGCGTTGGCAGGTAATGAACGACTAACGCCTTTGTGATGAAGATTAACACGTGAGCTGATGTCATGTTGAGTGACACACACATGGGTCCATAGGCTTGACATCAGCATTGGTCCTGTGGAATTAGAGTTCTCATGGTGCTGCGTTATCTGCATTTTGTTTTGTATTCTAGAAGAAAAGCAATACATTTAGGAAAGGTGACAAATCAGAAACTGGTCTTTAAACTCAGCCAACCAGAAAGCTATTAAACTTCAACAGATTCTTCTCAAGATATTTTCAGTTCCATTCAAAAGCGTAATCGGTATTTGGCTGAGTGGATATTCAGAGATGAAAGTTTCTGAGAGGAAATGAAACAAAGCGGCTCCTGGAAAGAGCGAGTCTGGCCTGAGACGGCAGCATATAAATCACTGAGAGATAAGAGAGAAGTATTAACAACTGGACCAAAAAAGTGCCCCAACAATTGAGGAGAGAGTGACAGGTTGAGGTCAGACTCTCCAAAATCTCCATCAAACAACATCATTACAATGCTCAGGCTTCTTCCTTTCAATCCCAATCTTTTTAACCCTACTTTATCAATAATTTCCCTCTAAAAATCCCTATTCATCAATTGTCTGACTTAATCAATTGGTTTTGTTATTGATTAATTGCAGTTTGCAGATGTGTGCCTGTTATTAAAGGGCGAAAAGAGTGAACACTATTTTAATTTAAGTTTGTATAAGTACCACCATATAATAAATGATGTATGTTTTTATGATGGGATTCAATATAGTTGTAAGCTACTGAAAAACAATCAACAAAATAATGGATAACGTCTCCTAAGAAGGATATTTTATTGTAATGTTTTACATATTTGTCTTTTATTCTAGTTGGTTAAATAAAATGTATGTATGTGTATACAGCTGATGAATGACTGAAGTGTTACCCATGACTATTCATCTTTTCTGTGTTGTGAATGTCTTTAATTGAGTCACCTTGGTGAGATTAGGTTTTTATGACCTACTCCACTGCCCTATTTAGCACACACATGACCTCTGAATATTTCATCCAACCCACTTCCAGTCCCTCAAGCTCTTGTTTACCTCTTACCCTTTCCCCCTTTGCTTAAGTTTCTGAAGGTGAGGTGAGGACGCTTTAATGCTTTAACAAGATCACAGAGAAAAGCCACGCCTCCTCCAGCTAATGTTCAGAGACAGATCTGGGATCAGTTCACTCGAGCAGCGGCCCTGTGTCAGCAGTATTTCTCCACAGGTGGGATAAACCGAGGTCGAGCACATTAACAACCCTACGTCCTAAATATTTAGCTAAGTTGTATTTCTCTGACAAATCACAAACAGAAACCATACCTAATTGCTGTAAATTATTAACTTACTCATGCTGACACACAGTCACACACACACACACACTCACGTTTCCATGCATGTACCCAGGCGTTGCTAATGCACAAATTAGTTCATACTAAAAGTACCTCTCAAAACACATTAGCATAATGACCTGAATACATATAAAGCATTTGAATTGATTGCTTTACATAAAACCTATACTGCATGACTATCAGGGGATTCACTCTTGATGTTATATAAGTTGGATACAAAATCTTCCTTTTTCTCATGCGTGTTAAGACCTAACACAAATGAATCTAGAACAATCGGCTGTCAATGTGTTGTTGATAAGTTGCACTTAGATCTGTATATAATGTTAAACCTTTTGTTTAGTAACTAAGTTGCACAACAAGAGAGACAACAAGTACAAGGGATTAAGTCAATGCATTATCACACATACACAAAAGAGATATTGAATATTCTCACACACACACACACACACACACACACACACACACACACACACACACACACACACACACACACACACACACACACACACACACACACACACACACACACACACACACACACCACACACACACACACACACACACACACACACACACACACACACACACACACACACACACACACACACACACACTTCAGAAATAAGGGCCCATTCATTCAAACACACATTGACTGACTAAGTCTCTCATCTCTGCCAAGGCTGGAGAGGAAAACTGGCGAGCACACACACTCTCTCAGCCTTGTGACCGTGCTCTCTGCTGAGCTGCACTCCATCAATATGCCTGTGTGTGTGTGTGTGTGTGTGTGTGTGTGTGTGTGTGTCAAATGTATTAAACTACTGAACAATTAATACAGATTTTATTGAAAAAGAGACAGAAATAATTGTTATAATTCGACAAATAAAAAATATACTTTCCATTTGTTACGTTTTTGTATCTATATCCTCTAAAAGATACTTTTATTGTGTTTACATTTTGAAGAAGACTCAATCTACTTGCATGTGTTGATCAGCAGGTTTATGCCCATTTACTTGCATTCTTGTATATTTATTTCCCACAAAAAAGATTTGTACCTCTGCTGCTTTTTCCCACTGTTAAATTCAGTTTGATACAAAAATATATTAGCAGACTGTTAAAAATGTTCGGTAAAAATCAAGTAATGCAAGTTACATTTTTGTTTTGATGAAACACAGTGCCCTTTTTTAAATCAATTTGCACTTAACTGCGTTAAAATGTAACAATATTACATTGAAAAAAAAAAGATAAATCACCTTTAAGAAAGTCTGAAACCGTTGAGCCAGTATCAAAAACTGGTTAGCATTTGAAGGGGTGCAAAACTCTTGTGTTTCACAATGTTTAACCTTTCTGATAAACAAATGTAACTGTCTTGTATTTCTTTGACTGCTTTCACTAGCAACACTTTTAGCTAACTGCGCCCAAACGGCAGACAAATATGAGCTTAATGGATCATTTAGCAACGAAGGAGTCATATATTTTCCTTTGGACTGGGTGGAGACCAAAAAGACAGCTTAATGGAACGTGACTTTTGTGCAGTGTTTCCAACACTTAAAAGATGTAAGTAGCGAGCATTTGCTGCAAGATGTAGCTGACAGATGACGTAGGACTCCTATTTGCATATTGGCAACTGAGCATTCATCTGCACATTCTGAGTGGCTATGTTGAAGCGAGAGAAGACTTATTGCACACGGAGAGAAAGAGAGAACCCAAGTTAAGTTGGCAGAACAGTCGGGCTGTTATTACTAATTACCATTTACCTTAACGGTCTAAATAAATGGTTACTTTTTAGTACACCTTTTACTCACTACCACTTTTAACCTTTCCTGATTGAAATGAAATACAAAGTAAACAAGATTTATAGTTAAAAAACTACAACTTGCATGCACACTGGTATGGTCCTTAGCAGGGGCGGATTGGGACTAAAAATCAGCCCAGGCATCTCGACCGGCCCACTTGGGTACCACTAGTAAATTGTCAACGGGGTGCCCACATCGTCCGACCGGCCCACTTCGGTAGCGGCCCATCGGGATTCGTCCCGAACGTCCCGATGGCCAGTCCGCCACTGGTCCTCAGGGTCTAGGGTCTGTTGAGGGTCATCTGCTCGTTTCACAGCTGTTCCTCCAGACGTGGCTCCGTCCTGGATGAAGGAGAGGCAGGAAGAAGGGGTGAGACAGGGCGGAGGACAGCGAGGTGCGTGTCGATGGCTCGTACTCCAGCATCCTCTCCAAGAGGAAGAAAAACTGGTGGTGCTCTGTCCCGTGTGAGGACAGGTACTTCTGGAAAAAGCATATAGAGAAACAAGTCATAAGGGTATAAATGTACTTTGCATTTGTAAACCAACAAACTAAAACATTTGTATTGGTTATAACCCACGTGATGTTATTTTTCACTGTTGTTTTCAATTATAATTTTATTTCACTCTTCCTTTTCTAATAGTTATAATTGACATGCATTATTAATTCATACTGGTCGTTGTTGCTGTAGTATTTACATTTTTATTCCTACTTACATGTTTTATCCAAGTGTCTCCTAATTGTGTCTGATTTTTTTTATCTCTGCACAATCCATATCTTTTTTGTTGCAGCATGTTCATCATGCCGAAAGGTTGTGCTTCAGTGTGGAATGAAATGTGCTGAATACAAAAGTTTTTGTTTGCCCCTGCCTCTGCTCACCCTTAATGGTTTGCACTTGGCTTTCACATAGCGCCCGGCCTTGGAGCACTCGTTCCAGTCGAGACGCCCACGGTGGAAATACTTCTGCTTTCTGTGAAGAAAGAAAAAGGTGTTTGAAATGAAGTTAATTTTGTTTGCATGTGCGTTTGTGCAGCAGTGAAGAGGAGTGTGTTACCTAGTTTTCTGTATCATACTCTGAGGAAGTGGTCCCTGTATGCTCTCCATCATAGCAAGATGCTCCTTGTTGTCATGAGTCTAAAAGTGAAGATAATCATGTCAAAAAGATACAGAATTAACTATTTTTATCATGCTGTCATTTTACTAATATAATCATACATGTGACCTGGTACAGTGTGAAGCCTGCGTAATATTCAAACAGGATGCAGCCGATACTCCACACATCACATGGGTGACTCCAACCCAACTCTGTGGGAGAGGGAAGGGACAACATGTTCAAAGATAAGAACAACGCTCCAAGCTCCTGGGTACTCCCTGATTATTATATTATCCACATCTCTCACCCAGAATGACCTCTGGAGCTCGGTAATGACGCGTAGAGATGACGGTGGAGTGGTGCTCGTGGTCAAAGGTGGCGCTGCCAAAGTCGACCAGCCGCACTGTGGTATCTTTTATTCTCCGCTCATTACACTTCTGGAGGAAGACAGAAAGGAAACAAGCCAACAGTTTAGCCAGATCTAAAGGACTAAAGTTAAACTGTGCACACATACACTATGCTACAGGAACAGATGTACAACTGTACAAACAATCCAGCTGCTAAACTTGAGCTAATGACATCAAATCAAATCAAGTTTTATTTATATAGCACATTTTTAAACGATTTTTGGTCGAGCCAAAGTGCTGTACATATAATAAAAATACCCTACAGTAAAGACACTTTACAGCTAATACAACAGCACAGTTTGTGCAGAATATCAGTATGAGAAAACGACACCCTCTGTCCTTAGACCCTCACATCGTACAAGGAAAAACTTCCGGAGAAAAACCCCACAGTTTAAAGGGGAAAATGGGAGAAACCTCAGGGAGAGCAACAGAGGAGGGATCCCTCTCCCAGGACGGACAGACGTGCAATAGATGCCGTGTGTAAATCGAAGAGATAATACATTTGATCGCGTAGGTAGATAGACCGAATGTTAGGAAATGCATGTGTCTATAATAAGAAGATGAATCCACGAGGATGTCAACAACAATCCTGTGGGAGCCATCAGGGAAGCAGCATGACGAGACCCAGGCAGGACCGCAGGGACAGGTTCAGCCACGACCCGAAGTCCACGACTTAATCCAGAACTCAGGATAGAGGATCCAGGACACAGGACCACAGCAAACAGGATCAGCCTCGACTCCGGATCCCGGCGTAGATGACACAAAACAAGAACATTTGGGGGAGGCTGGGTTAATCGGAACATGAGAATACATAGACACAGACAGACAGAAGGAAGAACAAGCACTCCCTTAGGATAGGTTAAGGGAAAAGGGTAGCAATTAAGAGAGTAAGAAACAGAGGTGGAGAGGCACACGCAGGGAGCAAGGTCCCACTGGAGCCTTAGTTGGAATTGATGAGAGATAGGGAGGTACGCTGTGTCTACGAATCGTAACACTCCCCGGCCTGGATAAGCCACTCTGCAAATCTGTTTCCCTCTAATAAAACCTCGAAAGGTCAGAGAGGGAAAAGGGTTTTGGATAAAGAGAGGATAGAAAGAATAGATTACAGGAGTAGAGAGTATGAGAAGTAGAGAGAGAAAAGATTTAGAAGAATGAGTAGTAGTAATGACCTTAGTTTTAAATATAAGATCCAAGTTTTTAGGATTTAAGTGAAAGATCAAGAACCAAAATGTAGGTGAAGAGGCACAGCGTATCTACGTCAATGCACTCTTATTAGATTATTTTATCAGCTATAAGCTTTATCAAAAAGGAAGGTCGTAAGCGTACTCTTAAAACGGATAGGCTGTCGGCCGCCCGAACACAAACTGGAAGCTGATTCCACAAAAGTTGAGCTTGATAAGAAAAGGCTAGAAGGCCAGAGAGAAGAAGTGAGTTTTAAGTGTTGACTTAAAAACGCCTAGGGTCTGGGCCGACCTCACATGGAGGGGCAGAGTGTTCCAGAGCCTAGGTCCCGCTGCTGCGAAGGCTCGGTGCCCTCGGGTTTTGAGCCTGGTCTTGGGCACTATCAGCAGCAGCTGGTCAGCCGACCTTAAGGCTCTGGCTGGGGTGTGGCGATGGAGGAGTTCGGCTATATAGGCCGGAGCCAGCCCATTTAGGGCTTTGAAAACAAATAAAAGGAGTTTAAAATAAATTCGGAACGGAATTGGAAGCCAGTGCAGTGAGGCCAGAATTGGGGTGATGTGGTCACGCTTTTTATGGCCAGTGAGAAGACGTGCAGCTGCGTTCTGCACTAGCTGCAGGCGTCTAATTGAGGCCTGGTCCATACCCACATACAGAGCGTTGCAGTAATCCAGCCTCGAGGTAACAAAGGCATTAATAACCCTTTCTAGGACATGTGACCAACCTGTACTTCAAGCCTGTATGGGAAGCTTTCCTAAGTACATGAAAGTTAAAATGCTCTCTCATCTCATTCTCACCAGGAAAGTGAAAAGGCCCTCAGCATTTTTCCCAAAATGTCTAACTTTTCTTGCATGGCTCACCAGAGGTTTTGTTAAAACCTTTAAAAGGGACATTTATGCTTATTTTCAGATTCATATTTCTATGTTGTGCCTCTACTGTGACATGTTTACATGCTTTAATGTTCAAAATGTGTTTGTTTTTTTCTTATCCTACCTCTTTTCACCCTCTGTCTGAAACCAGGGTCTAGTCTTTCAAGCTATATTGCAGTGCTCAAAGATCTCACCAATTACCAAACAGGGTACAGGATTTATAAAAAAACAAATCTCCTAAAGTATGCCACACATTGTCTCACTTAGTTTAGCAAACACAACCTGGATAAACACAGGATCTGCTGCAAATTTTACATCAAAATGTGCAACAAACAAAACACATTTCAGGTTGCTCTGCCTGCATTTATCCCAGCTTGTTCAACATCCTTATTTTCTCTATCCCCTGAAGGTGCCAGCCTGCAGTTGTGTACCTTCTCAGCGTTGTATATGAAGGTGTAGTCAGAGATCACAAAGAGGATGTTCTCCGGCTTCAGGTCGGTGTGAGTCAGCTTGTTGTCATGGAGAACTGCAGTAGAGAGACAGAGAGGAAGATTACATTCATCTGACGAGCCAACACCCCGTCTGTCTGAGTTTTTTCTTCGCTGAAACAGACGTGATGGATTCGTAGGGGATAATAAATGTCAGTGACAAAGATAGTGAGACATTTTATCAGACAACATGGATGTGTTTGTCTACCCCTTTAATCTTGTGTGATGATGTAAATTAAAAACACTTCTATCATCTTCAGGTAAACATCTACCTGCCTGGTGGCTGCTGCATCATCCGTCATCATCAGATGTTAATAATCTGCTTACTCTCATCGGTGACATTGATTTAGCAGTAAGGAGGAAAAGCGGTGCGGTGGGGGGGTGGGGGGTGTGATGCATGCTGCACTCACAGCTGACAGCGTGGCAGATCTGCTGGGCCATGTGTCGGATCTGGTTAATGGGATAAGGCAGGAAGTTGTTTGCCTTCAAGAAGTCAAAGGTGCTGAGAGACAGCAGCTCAAAAGAGATGCACACATGGCCGTAGTAGTCAAACCAGTCCAGCATCCGCACACAGTGACTGATGGGGAAATAAAATAATGAGATAATGTAGATGTATAAGACAGAAAAAGAGTCAAAATTACAAACTACTCACTTTCTGTTGTCTGGATCTCTCTCGCTGATCTTCTCCAGGACATTGATTTCCAGTTTGGCTGCCTCTCTGTATTTATCCAGGTTTTTAATGATCTTCAGAGCAATTTGACTCCCTCCTCTGTGTGTCAAAAACAAATCAATGAACGCATGTTGCAGATCTGTCAAGCCTTCTTTATTAGATGAAGCAGATTACCTGCTGTGGTCCGTACATTGCACCACCTTCCCAAAGGTCCCCTCACCTAAAGTGTTGACTATCTCATCTGTGAGACAGATTGAGGCGAAATTAAAGCTGGAGCATTTTTACGACGGTTGCCAACACTTCCGAACTGATACCTACATCTGTCTTCCAGGACGTCTCCGCTCCTGTAGATCAGGTGGCCGTTCTCAGTGTCCCTCTCATTGTCGCAATCAGACTCGCTGCTTCTCCGCTGGAAACAAAGTCAAATTCATGACGAGTGGAGTAAATATCTGGGCAGAGATCAATCTGCGTCAGTGCCTTTCTACACCGTTCAACTAAAGACTGAAACAGAGTGAGTGGCATTTAACCCTGAAGGCCAAAGGTCATCAGGAGGATTTACACTCTGTCCTCAGTGATACATTTAAACCTACATGAAGACAAACGTGCACGCAGTGAAACATATTCACATTGAAAGAAGCTTTATGTCATGTATGTCTTAAAAACGGCTCTAAATTCAGACGTGATACATTTTTTTAATCTCCAGTTTTCCAGCTTCTACATTAAGTTTGAGCCTAATGACCTGAGCTTGTTCCAAAGGAGGTTAATAAGAAAAGTCAACTGGCTTCTGGCCTCTTTGGAGGAGCGGAGGCTCTATTTCCATCGGCATTCTGAGACTGTTATTAATATCAGAAGCCCAGCATGTGCTGAGGAGACACTTATGCAGGACACGGGCCACGAAATAGACAGCAAGTGACACATGTAAACACACAGTCTGCACGGGATTTGTGGCGCTTAAAGAACGAATTATGAGTTAAACCTCACCACATAGTGCGGAGGATTTTCAAAGTCAACCATGATGATGCAGAGGTGACATAAGTGTGTTTGGAAAGAAATAGAAGCAAGAACCCAGCAAACTCAGGCACAGAAAATGGAGATACTCACAGAGAGGCAGAGGCATATACAGTCCAGAAATCCTTTATAGAGAGAGCACAGCTCTGTCTTTCCCATGATGCAGAAGGGCAGAGCTCCTCTGAGATGAGAAGAGCTTGAGTGGAAGAGAAGAGGATGGAGGGAGGTTGTACAGAAAAAGGAGAGAAGCAGGTGAAGCAAAAGCACAAAAACTAGATCAGCAGGAGAGAAAAGGCACAAAGGACAGGACGGTACAAGTATAAAGCAGAACTGGCACAGTAAAACTAGAGGACTTGGAGTTGAGACAAAGTAAAATATAGCTCCCAATGCTGTCAGCAGAAACCAGATGCGAAAGTGAGACGCAACTGACAGGAGAGAAACTAGCTTAAGATAAAAATAAAGAAAAATCAAACAAAAGGGAACAAGAAAGTTGAAGCGCAATAGTAATCAGAAAGCGCCAGACAGAAATGAGACAGGAGGAGGACAGAGAGAGGGTGAGAAGAGAGAGCGCAGACAGATGCTAATAATAAACTTTGGTCACAACACCCTGAGAAAGTCTTCAGAGGAGAATCAAGATGTGGTTTGGGGGAGGAGAGATCCAGTTTCATTCCACTTTACTCACTCTCCTCCTTGCACCTCCTTAACCCCCGCAACATGTTTTCCCACACCTGTCCTGCTATACATAAAACACATACCTTTAAATAAACAGTGCATGCTTTCTACAGACAGATAACTGACACTGCTCTTATAAAGTTTTTATTTTGTAGTTCATGTTTAAAGGGTCACATTACTTGAACAATATGAGGTGTATAAAAATGTGAAAAATAGAAGCATACAAAATGTTAAAATACTCGTCTGAAATCTCCTAAACTTGATACAACTTGTTGGTCACAGTAACAAAGTGGACCAATGATTTACATTTGGATATTTCATTACATGAAACAGCAGGTAAAAAGTGTTTTAAAAACCTGAATTATTCCAACCATTTTAACACAAAAAACAAATCTCATGAAGTGATCAGTAACAAAACATTTGATTTCTACAAATATTTAGTATATTTGATATTTTTAAATACAATCTCTGATAAAAACAGTAACATCAATATCAATATCCTTTAAGTGATTGTGAACACATCACAAAGTTTGGCGCTGCTCCTCGTAGTTTGGTCCGGGGAATATCAAAATATCTCCATAAGGCTCGTCCTGCTCTGCACGGAGCCTCTTGGCTGTTAAAGACTCTGCAGAAAACACAAACAAATACCCACTCCACTGTAAATAAAACTAAAGTCTAACACAACTAGATCATATCAAAATCTCTCCATGAACCGTTAAGTGATATTGCTTCTTCAGCTCAACTCATCATTAAAGCTTCCATAAATGACACCTCCACCTCCCTCAGCGTTATGGATTAAACAGCTTCCTCTTGTGTTGAGGCACGTAACAGAAACACAATTTCAACATGAGAAATGGGATGATTGACTAACTAACACCTCACCCAGCAGCCTCATGAAGCTTTTGCTGACAGTTCTGCGGTTTGCGTCTGGCGGCAGGAGAGACGCAAACACCACGGGCCCCTCTTCATTCTCTGGGAAATCGAACAGCAGCCTACACACACAAAAACACACGATCATATTCTTATCTCCAAAGTGTTACTAAATGCAAAGACTGGGAAAAATGACCATACAGCTTCAACTGAGTGAGTAATAGTGATGCGTTCAATGTCATTACCCAGGAGACTCTGCTGCAGCTCTCTCCAGGAACTCATCCACCACCTCTGCGATGTCCTTCAGGGACCTGGGGACAACAGGCCTGCACACACACATGTGCACATAAACATGACAGCACATTCATTTACAGAGCACTCAGTGACTGAATGTACATGGCAAATTGTGTATTTTTTTAAAGATCTAAACTGAAGTCTTTTGGATTCAAATATAGAAAATATTGGACCGTATACAATAAAATGGACGCAACTACAAACATGGATCAAATGTCCATATAGTGCTTACAAAGAGCAGAGTAGAGGAGGACATCGAGGATATGGAGGATAAACTCAAACGGCTTCCCATACTCCAGTCAGTGTAATATATGTAGCCCTTTTTTGACTGTCATGAAACGTATGGTAAAGATCTGTCTGAAGTCAGTGCCAAATGTGGTAATGTGTTCAATTTACCCATTTACCTTCACATCCCTATTTGTTACCCATCCTTGCTGCACTCACATCTTCGGTACCTACCCTTCTTTCTCGGATGAGAACATGGGGGAGATAATTCGAGACGTCTCCTTTTGGTCAGATACCTCCATTGTATCAGGGTCTGATAAACACACACACCATTTTAGATATTATATTAGCTTGTATTCGTTCCCTGTAAGCTTGCCCTAACCCTTAACCATAAGTGATACATGCCTACCCCCACCTCTGCTGTGGACACACACTTCACCCCCAGCACACTTTCATGTTTGTTTTGTTTTACACAATGTTTACCTGAAAATGCGTCCATCTCCAGCCCTGCCACATCTCGGTGAAACTGTATTCACACACACAAACACACACACACACATTACTTAATCTTCTCCCTACACAAAGAGGCTTCACAGTTATTGATACCATAGTCACACACACAAACAAACAAATAAACATTCTTCCACACCTCCCTAGGGCTGAGGGCAGCACCTCCATCCGTTCCTTCCCGTGCTTCCACCTCCTCCGCCGCCTTCACCATCTCACACTCTCTCTCCTTTTCGGAGTCGGTGGACTCGGGCCCTCTCTCCCCGGCCTGCAGGTCCGAGTCTGAGAGAGGCGTGATGATCGCAGCCTGTTTCCATAGTAACTCTTCAGGCAAGGCTGCGAGGTGGAAAATAAAATCAATGTAGATTTTTGAAAAAAGGTAACATGTATCACAACTTTAAACAGCAGCAGTTGCAGATGTGCATGAGCAAAATTGAAGTGACAAAAAAAAAACACTTCATATCAAAATTGTGTATAAAAATGTAATAGATATCACCATCAATGAAAAATAATATGACTTAAAAGAACCTGAAGTTAATCATATTTTAAAATTGGCGCCACTGTTGTAATACAGTATACAGGAAGTCTTCTGAACTGTTTTATGGCAAAAAAAACAACAAATATGTTTTACAGTGTAACACAGGAAGAAGGCTGTTCAGTGTTTATGAGGAACATGGTTTTAAACACTGGTGTGAAATCAGATTTGTATTCAAGGGTTGTTGTTTTTAGTGTTACTGACGTGTGCAGGGATTATTGAAGAGCTCAGCAGCAGAGGGCAGCCTCTGAGAAGACGGCTGAAAAGTAAGACGAGGTCTGGTCTCAATACGAGGGTCGTCGATCTGCTCATGCAGGACCTGCTCTGGGATCTGCGTCTCCGGGTCGAAGAAGATCAGCTGCCTCTTCCTCCTCCTCACCTCTGGAGTGGGCACATCCTGGGCATGGGAGGGATGGAAATGAACCCTAACTTTCCTCCAGCTGTTAAAAGGCATTTCATTGAATGTCTCTCTAAAATGAGAACAGCCATTGGGTTGCCAGGTTGTGAAAAATCCCTTTTGATGACATTTATTTATCCTAGCAGCTTAAAAAGTAATTTGTGTTAATGTTGTGAGTTTATCAGGAGACCCCGCCAATAGACATTTTACCATTAGACCACAATCGATTTAAAAACTATGTATTACCAAATTCAAGAGCGGGCTAGTCTAGTTCAAGAAAAATAAACTTTAACAATTCAATAGAGATTTCCCAAATAAACCTGCTTTGACTTTTTAAACATTGATTTAGGCATTCTAATACAAATTGAGGCCTTATTTAGAGATGACTGACTTCAGTGCCTTTTAACATTTCTAAAAGATCTACAGGAACCATGATGATACCAATGCACTTTTAAAAATTCCACAAATTGAATTCCCAGAAATGAATGGATACCGTTATAAAAACAACACTGTATCTGAACAAAAAAAGGAAGAAGTTTGTTCTAAAAACACTTCCTGCCCGGTTGTTATTGCACGAAAACCCCAAATCTGGCACCTTCAACTGTAGAGCTGGTCTTTGACGTTTCTCGGCTGCATGTGGTGGGGAGGGGAGGATGGAGGCGGGAGTGTGCAGGTCTGAAGGGGATCTGGATAGGCCTGGATCTTCCTGAAGCAGAATGACCTCCTCCGTGGAGAGGGTGGGTAAGCTGACACAGAGAGAAGCAAAGTGTTATTGTGTGGCTCTGTGTGTTTCTGCTGACGTTTCCATAGAGATACTTTACTCAATAGTGGAAGCTGTGAGATCTCTTGTTGTCTTTCCCTCTATGTCTTCTCTCCCATCCCTTTCAAACTCCCTCTCTTGACCTCCTGGCTGCATTCCTTGCTCCAGTATATCAAAATCCTCACCTAGAAAAAGTAAAAGAAAGAAAAACCATAACTATCTTATTGTCACCTTTCTCTCGCTGGAAAAGGAGCTCCTAGTTTCGCAACGCACCTTCTGGAAAGTGACCTGTCTGGGACATGAGGATGTCAATCGTATCTGGGTGCTGATCAACCAGCTCCATGCCCTCGAACTAGCATTCAGTAGAACGAGAAGAAGAAATAGATGTAGGTGAAAATCCGACAAAAAGGTGAAAAGTGTATGTACTGCATTTGACTCGGTACCTCTGCGGGAGGGATGGTGATAGGCTCGCTCTCTCTCAGGGTGATGGTTTCTGGGGATGCAGTTATGGCTGGGGGAAATATGATTGACATGTATTAAAAAACAACATTATTTCACAGCCACACAAACAAGCAGGAGAGGACACAACTTCTCAAGCTGAAATGAAAGTGCTCTCTTATGCGAAGGTGAAATGTGGCTACACAACATTGTGTGGCCCCGCATCATGGCCTCGGCTGATGAGGAGGATGTTGTTGTTGAAGGCAGTCGGCTCTGATGAGACCCACAGTGTCTCTCTGTGCCTGCTGCTCTGGATATCTGCCTTTTTATCATAATCTGAGCTCTGTCTATTCCTGTGACCTGTTGGTATTTACATTCTGACGTACTGTACAGTTCTTGGCATGCTTTGTATGTCTTTCTGTAAAGCTGACATTTAATTAACGCTGATGATAACCAGGACAGGCCTTGTGTATTCTCCTGATATAGCATTTCAAACATGTTTGCCTTAATGATGCCTTTGGTTCATGTATTTTTCTAGTTTCTTATCTGTTCTTGTTTAAATGATACAGCATGTATTCTTGCTTTTATGGCTATCTGTTTTAGTTGTGTCTGCATGTATTGTACACATCTCTGCATCATTCAACATTTGGTTTCTTCTTCAATATGTTCCCCGAGGTTTCTAATAAAAGTAACGGGAAAAAAGTGTTTTAGGAGTTTACGGGAATTGTCCAGGTGCAATTGAAAGATAAGTTTGATGTATATTTTGCTTTTCTTAATTAAACTTTCTCTTATT